CTCTGCTGAGACAACGAAACAGGGCAAACAATTCTAAACGTTTCTTCTTTTTAAATTTTTATTTAAATTTTTAAAAACTAAAAAAAATTTTTTAGATGTTTATTTTGAGAGAGACTATATGTGCATGCTCACAAGTGAGGGTGGGGCAGGAAGGGCGGGGACAGAGGATATAAAGCAGGCTCTATGCTGAAAACAGAGAGCCCAATGTGGGGCTCGAACTCACAGACTGTAAGATCATGACCTGAGCTGAAGCTGGACGCTTAACCGACTGAGCCACCCAGGCACTTGATATCAAAAAGCTCTTGATACCAGTGGTACCGTTGTAAATAGGAGAGAGAACAGAATCAGTGCTTAAGGCACATAGTGATCCTTTGGGTTTCAGCTCAGTGAATGCAGAAGTCCTTCCTGGCCGCCTAAAATCTGGATCTGGGATTCTTCCAGTGTGCTCCCACAGAGCACTCAGCATGGTCACCTGCTAACGTCCCCTTTCATGGTAGAAACTGGGCCTCATTATCAGCACATTCTCCAGACTCAGCGCCAAGATGGATGGCCTCAAAGCACCTTCAGCCCCAGGAACTTGACTTGGGATCCCCTCAATGTCATTGCTCAGTAATTGCCATCACCACACCAAGCATCCAGGCGCCATTTCTGAGAAGGCCCACAAGATGGAGATGTCACCGCAGGGATGGAAAGAGAACGCACTCTGCCCTTCCCAACTTCCCAGACACATTCGCTATGGTGTAATTACTGTTTGCTTGTTTGTTTCATTTCAATATTCAGCATGAATGGTTCAAATATTCCTATAATTTTTCTTTTAAAAATATTTAGGATGTTTCCACTCAAAAAGCGCAGTTTCAATAGTGAAACATTTAGAAAGTCTGCTTTCATTAAACAGTTGCATCTTGTATCCCTGAGGGCTTTGCAAGTAGTTTTGGATTTCGTATTTTCTTTTGTTTTGGCACAGCCCAACTTCCATTTTCATGAAAATTAATGTTACGCTGTCTCTGAAAAGAGTCCTATAAATGAAGTCATAATAGGAGATGTGGAGATGGATTCATTTTAATACCCTTGACTTGGCTTAATTTTGTATATTGTTTCTTCCTTTCTAGGTCAATTTATCATTCTAAATTTGATTAGCATCGAACTTACTAGCATGCTTGGGAAAAATATGGAAAACTCTAAGCTCACAATGATGCCCAGTTATATTTCCAAAGTGGACTGACCTGCTTGCAGGGGTGTTTTAGTTGGCCTGATTTTCCTAGGACTTAAGAGAAGTGAGTCTTATTTCCAAATCAAGGGAAAAGAGTTCTAGATCTTTCCAGTACTGCATGGCACCCTGACATACTGTTTATTTATCAGGAGTGTGTTAACAGAAAATGTGGGTTCTCAGGGCGTCTGGATAGCTCATTTGGTTAAGCATATGACTCTTGGTTTGGGCTCAGATCATGATCTCATGGTTCCATTGGTTCAAACCCCACATTGGGCTCTGCACTGATGTTGTGGAGCCTGCTTGGGATTCTCTCTCCCCCTCTCTCAAAATAAATAAATAAACTTAAAATAAAAAAAAAAGAATAGCATCAAGCTTTAAAAAAGGAAAAGAAGGGCACGTGGGTGGCTCAGTCATTTAAGCGTCCGATTTTGGCTCAGCTTATGATCTCACAGTCCATGAGTTCAAGCCCCATGTGAGGCTCTGTGCTGACAGAGCCTGGAGCCTGCTTTGGATTCTGTGTCTCCCTCTCTCTTGCTGCCCCTCCCAACCCACATTCTCTCTCTCTCTCTCTCAAAAAATAAACACTAAAAAAAGGAAAAAATGAAAAAGAAAATGTGGGTTCTTGCTGCAAAAATACAACTATTGTTCATAATACTTTAATGTCTTTTCTGAGTTTTTCTTTTTTGTTTCAATAATTATGGGTATATAAAACATCTCAATAATATTACAAATTCTACTGAAGTATATAATTCGGTAAAAACAATCACATACCTAGTAGAGCAGAAAACTGTTGTAAATGTGAAAATAGATAAGTGACATCCAAATAATTCAGTTGTCAAAAATGAAAAATTAAACTGTATAAAACTACATATTATAATAAATACAACTTATATTGCACATTGGGTGATGTATACAAATATGAGTAGGAGTTGGGATCCCTCCTTATTTTTCTTTTTTTATAGTCACAAATATAAGCCAGCAAGGCAAGAGTAAAACGTGGTGGCGTGGCCAGGCCTGGGGGCTTCCTGGTGTCAATAATTAAACTGCATATCTGATGTTTCAAATGACTGATCACATGGTTTTGTGAAGCCATAAATGGTGATAATTGGGAAAAACACGCAAATGTCAAGCAAGTAGCTCTTTGAAGCTTTTCTTTGCTAGTGGATACAGCAGATGGTTCAGAAGAAGAACTTTCTGTAGCAGAGTATGCTGTAAGAGGGAGGTGGAAAGGAAAGACTCCCACTGGGGTGCCTGTGTGGCTCAGGAAGTTAAGCATCTAACTTCAGCTCAGGTCATGACCTCACACTTCGTGAGTTCAAGCCCTGCGTCAGGCTTTGTGCTGACAGCTCAGAGCCGGGAGCCTGCTTCAGATTCTGTGTTTCCTTTTCTGTCTGCCCTTTCCTCGCTCGTGGCCTCCCCTCCCCTCTCTCTTTCTCTCAAAAATAAATAAACGTTTAAAAAAAAAAAAAGGCTCCCATTACTGGCTTCTCCAATGACCAAATCTCAGTATGCAGGCTGGCTGGAGGGATTCATACAAGTACCTTCTTCAAGCCAAGGACCACTGAGTCCACACGTCCCAGGGCCCCTCAGTATCTCCCTGGGTGTCATACAGCCTTCTCATGACTTGCATGCCCCAGGCTGAACATCTCCACCTGTGATTTGCTTTTCTTTCAGTAACTTCTGTCTCTGTTCCTAGTTTGTAACATCCTCATGCTTGAGTGAGACTGAACCCTCACTCATTCTGCTTTCCTTGCTCCCACTTTTCCTCCAAGTTTGCCCAAACCCACTGTTCCTCTTAAGCCCCACGACCATTGCCCTACTTAGGCATGGTCAGTCCTCTTGGGCTCAGAGATGGCTTATGGTGGTCCCTGTCCCTGTGGCATCGACCCACTGGCTTCATGCATGGATATGTTAGAGCACCCCACCAGCTGCTCCAAAACTATAACACTCGTGATATCTCAGGATGAAACCTCACCTCTTCCCAAGGGCATTCAAGGTTCTCTGGGATCCAGCCCCATCCTTCTTCTTTTTAATGCTCCCTCACAATGCCCCTCCCTTCCCAGGCCCCAGATGACACACAGCCACACAAAGCAGGGAAGGAGACACAGGCAAGAGTCTTTCCAGAGTCTACACTCCTGGCCCTCCCAACTCAAACCTGAATCTGGGTTTCCAGGGGATGGGAAGGAGGTAGAGGGTTTCCCCTTTAGGACCCTTGGGTGAATCTCCCCTAAAGCCCAGGGCTTTGGAAACCTACAAACTTTCCATCCTTATAACCTGTCAACTTCAGGGACCTCCACACTGTTCCCCAACCAATGAGTGGGTAATTCACCTGATCCTTCAACTGTTGTTTACTGTGGCTCTGCCATAGCCAGGCCCCCGGTACCAAGGGGGACACAGCAATGAAGGGGACCTGGTTCTTGTTCCCAAGGAGCTGGCAGCCTAGCAGATACAAGATGTGAGATGTAGCATCAGTAAAATTTTAATATTCCTGACTTTGGCCCCAAATCTCACATCCCTTTAGATAAGGACCCTCTTCATTGGTGACCTCTCTGGGACCACAAGTGATCTCAGTTGGTCCCAAGTAGAGGTGCCCAAGGATGAAGGGTAGAGTGTCTTCAGGGAAATCAACTTGTTTCCTTACTGCCAAGATTTAACTAAGCCCAGATACACCCAGCCCAGGGCCATGCTGGGCTGTGGAACCTGAGATTTTGAAAATGTGGAGCTTATGTGCCATCTGAGAAAGTAACACGAAGCGTGGTGAGGCAAAGTTCATTGGACAGCCCCTCTTCCTGGGGCTGTCAGGTCTCTACATCCCAACCAAACCTCTCATCACCAGCCACACTCAGCAAAACACACTTCAGAATACACAGAAGATGATCAGAGTACAGAATACAGGTCTAATTTGTTTTAAATTCAGGATTTGAGGCAAATGATCTTTGTGAATTGCTCATGTCTAGATTTCTGATCAATCACACGCTGCTGGATGTTGTATCTTGTCATCACATATTGTCACTGCCCACTGGACCCACACAGTGCTTTCATGGGTACCTTTTCAGTTGCTCATCAAAACCACCCTCTAAGGTAAGAGATGTCATAACCAGCATTTCACCCTCAGGGATTAAATAACTTCCCAGTGAGTAATTGGAACCCTAGCCAGTCTTCCCTAACTCAGCACTCTTGCCATATAAGGGTAACTGTTTTTAATTGTTCTAAAATTACAGGTCTTACCTTTTCCTTGTAAACACATCCTTGTGCAATCACTCACTTCCAGGAGTAATAATTAGTTAATTTCTAGTGGTCTAATACTCTTGCCAAGTTAAATTCCTTCCATGAACCCATGCAATTCTTTTCCCTTCTGGTAGGTCCTGGATTAATTACATTAAGGTAGTGACCTTAATAGGCCCACCAGCTCCTGATTTATATAGAATTAATCATTCAAAAGTAAAAACTCATATTTAAAGGACAAAATGCAGACCTTACATAAATTCTACAAGTTTTTTCATAGGTCAGTCAAAACCTTCATATTTAAGTAACTGGGAACAATTTTTTTATGCTTTCTATGGAAAGAGTATAGGGAGGAGAGACCACAGTAAAAAACAAAATCAATTCTCATAAAATATTTACTTAGTAAATAGTGTGAAAGAGAAAATATTCTTGCCTTTGGACTGTATTATGTAAAGATAAATACTTTAGATTATGCTTTTTATTTCTTTTCCTTTAGTCCCTCTTCATCAAACTCATTTCCTTCACCGGATGGTGAAGCCATTGGCATACTTCTTAGAAAACCCACCTTTCCAGCCTGGCCTCTTGCGGAGGTGAAAAAGATGATGTGGGGGTGGCTGGCACAGCAGATCCACAGGGTCTTGAGTGGTAAGAGGTGTTGCCAAAGCTGTTGTATCTAAACAGTGCCGAAGTTTAAGGTGGGGAAGAGAAAGGGACAGAGAAATGAGTACAAGTCAGTAAATGAACAACACTTAACTAACTATCTTCATTTTTGCAAGAAGAACAGGTTTGGAAATGCTAATACCATTAGCGATTTTTCTAACTTCAAGAGATTTACTAACTGCTTCATTTTATTTCTCATGAGAGAGGTTTCCCACAGGCCAAAACAGTTGGTCAGAGAGATTTATGACAAGGAGTGTAAATAAAACCCTCATATTTCCTTATTTGTTCAATGTATGTTAAAATTCTTTGCTAACATAAAGAATCCCAATTATTTTCATTTGCATCTATGAAGATTCTTCTTGCCTCTCGTGGTGGTAGAATTAGTGGTAAATCTGTCAAAGATCTATAGAAAACACCAAATGATTAGCTAAACAAACATCTTATGAAAAAGTCTGCTTTAGGTATTTCCAAATCAATGTCATTCACTAAATGTAATCTCATCATACGACCAGTGACCAAGGCGAAAATGTCCTCATATCTGCCAACTGGCTTGCTGGCTAGAGGTTTATGTGTTCATATTTTCATCGAATGTTTCCTTTGAACCACAAGTACAGCCACTAGGTTTAAATGAGCCTTTATCATTTCCCAGACCACTGATGAGTTTCAGGATTACTATAGTTCTAGAGTTTTCTTTCTGGTTTTCAGAATAGCTGTCCTTTAGTTATTATTATCACTCAGTTTGTTCTCAGAAAACAAATCGCTACCTGAAGCCTTTGTGGCGGGGGCGGGGGGTAGGTTGGGGAGCAGACACTCATGATTAGGTCTAAATGATGAGACTCAATGAGTTCTGCTCTCAACCTATTCAGCCACAAGGCAGGGTCAACTCCTTCTAAACTGGTTGGGGACACTTGGGTGCATGAGGCCCCATGGGTCACTATGTTATAAGCACACAAAGACCTTCCTACACACAGTGAATCCAGTCCAACTCCCATCAACAGAAGCCAGCACTAACCATTCTGGGAAGGACCTTAACTTCGAGTGTGGATATCCTTTGACAGAGGAAGCCTACTTTGGGGAAGCTAACATAACCTTATGGTTACTTATATCCTGAACATGTCATGCATGGTATACTCACTGGAGCAATATTGAGATCATGGGCAAAACACCTGAAAATTACCCAACCAGGTAACTATGCAAGAATGGCTAAAAAAATGTGATAATTACAATGGAATATTATGCAATGATTCAAAAGGCCTGCCAAGTCTGTACATGATAGTACAGAAAATGTTGATATACAGGCTGAAATAAAACATCAGAATATAATATTTATACATAGTTTGATTTCAACTGTATAAAAATATGTGCAAAGGTCAAAAGCTATGTGTAGGAAAAAAATCAGAAACAGGCTATCTATTTTAAAAAGTGGACTAAAGAGAGATATTTTCCATTTTCCTTCATAAGCCATGTTATTATAATGGGAAATAAAATACGTGTATTACCCCCAAATCTACCCTATGCTGCTCAGTCTGGGCTGCTTAGCTATGGCTCTTCTTTCTGTTCATTTGGCATCACAGGTCAGGCCTGTGCTCAGCACACAGGCATGCCACCAAGCAGGGGGAGACTCTGACCACACAACTTCACCGCATCATCCTTGGCCAACCCAGCACTATCATGGGACTTGGTTTCTGGGCATCTCTTTTCTTTCCTCTTTAAAAACCCAACATGCTACATGCCTAACAGGTTAACTGTGTCTCCATGTGAGGGTTGGTTTGAGTTTCTAAGAGAGCTCCCAAACCACACGGCATGGAGAAGGCAGAAAGGCAAAGGGTGAGAAGAACAAACAAAGGAAGGAAGCAGCAGAGAAGGGAGGAAAAAAAACTCGGGAGCAAAGAAGAGGGAGAGATGCGGGCAGAAAGCACTGTGCGGTGGGCAGGGAAGGAGGCTGCCATCAGGAGCACGGACTCCTCAGGGACACAGCCCCGTGCCCAGGCCCCAGCTGTGTCCAGCAACTGGATGATGCTGCCTGGCCGCTCAGCTCGTCACTCCACGCAAGCATCTCCAATAGCTCCTTCTGACCCAAAGTGGACATCTTGTAGAATGTTTTCACAGGGTTATGTTACCAAGATTGAGTTTAAATGATGTTATGGAAATAAAAACAAGCATAATGCATATTCCTCCTGCTTTGGTTTTTCTAATGGTTGAGCAATTAATTCAAATACCTCACAGTCTGTTCAATTTTGCTTCTCAATTTCAGCCAAACGGACTGGGTCATACGACTCAGGTCACTGTGCTTTTTCCCATTGGTTCTTTTTACTGACTAATTGGTTGGTGTCTACTCTAACCAGTTCCACTGCAGTCAACCACTGAGCGGTACAGACCCATGAAAACCACAGAGAGTGAACATCAGAATATTAATAAGGGAAAACAATAGTTGTACAGCATCCAAATTCCTGTCAAATGATTAAAAATTGTAAGAATTTCTCTGTTAAATCTAAGTCAATTCTTATTCATAATATTGAGGCTGTTTTTCTTAATGTATGTGTAAATCCATTCATTTATAGCTTTCTCTTCTTCCTGTCCCCCAGGACTGGAAGCAGTAGAGAAGACCAGGTGGGAGGGACCTGGGCTCAGGAAAGCCCCATCAGAGGCTCTGAGACCATCACTAGAAAGTCCAGAATCACCATCAGGGGCTAACACCATCCTGCTGGGGAAAGTGAGGTTGCCAAGTTATTTTTACTCTAGTCAAACATACAGCTCTTAACTTGTACACAGATACTGTTCTTGGAGGACGTAAGAGCCATGTTGGATGTGCTCCATAGAAGTCATGTGAATGATCCAGTAAGCCCAGAATTTTTGGCCTAGAAGAGACTCCTAGAGAACCTGTAGTTTGAAGGTGCTCAGACTGGAGTTCACACACTCCTGGAGGCATGCAAAGACATCCTGGAAACAAGAGGAAATGTGTTTCACAGCCCCGAGTTCTGTGTCTGTTCTTTTATTAAAATGGGTCTGCCTGTCCCACTCCTAGGGTCTCCAAGTTCTCTTCCCTGCCTCCCCTTCAATGATGGCCTTCCACTTTCGGGGGAAAAAAAATCAACACCTTTATGGAGGCTGAATCAGTATTTTGAGCTGAAAAACCTCCAGGGTGCCAGGCAAAGAACAGTGTGGAAAAGCCTTACTCCTGAGGGAATTCCTTATGAAATACTGAGGAAGGGGCCCCCTGGGTGGCTCAGTCAGTTAAGTGTCTGACTCTTGGTTTTGATTCAGGTCATGATCTCACAGTTTCATGAGTTCAAGCCCCCTGTCAGGCTCTGTGCTGACAATGTGGAGCCTGCTGTGGATTCTTTCTCTCCCTCTCTTTGCCCCTCCTCCATTTGCATGGTCTCTGTCTCTCTTGAAATAAACTTAAAATACTGAAGAAGGAGAAGGTGCTGCTTTATCCAGGAGTAAACTCAGAGCGAGGTTATCTCTACCTCCTGCCCATAATACCTGGGCAATTAATTCAAATACCCCCCAGTCTGTCTAGTTTTGCTTCTCAATTCTAGAAGTGAGAAGGCTGTCACAGGGATACACATGTGATTTTTTGAACTGAAATATGATACCAGACTTTTTCTGACAGAAATTAAGTCTCATTTGTCTGAGGACAGGCTTTGCCAATTAAGCATATGTATATGTTTCCCCAAAATTAATCATTTAAATGTGAAATCCTAAGGCTTTCACAAAAATGAATTTACATATTCTTTTAATGTTTATTTAATTAGGTGTGCCTGGGTGGCACAGGAGGTTAGGTGTCTGACTTCGGTTGAGGTCACGATCAAGGTTCACGAGTTCCAGCCCTGCATCGGGCTCACTGTTGTTAGCAGAGTCCACTTGGGATCCTCTTTCCCCCCACTCTGTCCCGCCCCTGCCTGTGCATGCATACATGCTCTCTCTTAAAAAGAAATATTAAAAAGTATTTATTTTGTTTGAGAGAGAGACAGAGAAAGCATAGGAGAGGGAGAAAGAGAGAATCCCAAGCAGGTTCCTCGCTGTCAGCACAGAACCCGACAGGGTCTCAATCTCACGGACCATGAGATCAAGACCTGAGCCAAAGTCAGACACTTCACAGACTGAGTCACCCAGGTGCCCTTTGACACAAATGAAATTTAAGCACATATATGACAGACAAATTACATCTTTTACAAGTATTTAAACTCACAACAGAAAACTTCAGACAGGCTATTTAAAACTTAGAGGGAAGTTTCAAAATATTCTTAGGTTGAATGCAGGCAGAAAAGACTGATGATCATAGTTCTAGGTTAAGTCTTCTGTTTATTAGATGGAACGTTTGACACGCTGCAGCTGGTTCTATCGGGGTGTGAAAGAGCTGTTCTCCAGGTGTGTGACTGATAAGCCTTCGTTCAAAACAAGGTGTAACTTCTTACTGGGCACCCAGGAATAGGGTCCCCCAGACACAGACTCTGGCAAAAGCATTTTGCTGACAAGGACTTGTGGGAAGAACCCTGGCAGAGAGGGGCTGAGGTTCGGGGCCTGGTATTTGGAGTTATTGTATAGATGAGCCCAGAAAGGAGACAGACAGTCTACCTAAAAGAGAGGCCTGTACAATGCATAGGGTAGGACCAGAATCTGGAGCTGGATCCTTGGGGTAGAAGCCACTCCCCACTTCACCAGCTCTCTGTGCCTCAGTTTCTTCATTGTAAATAAGGGCTAGTAACAGGGGTTCTACTTCTCAGGGGTTAAGTAATACTTTAAAATGCTAATTTCATGGAAAGTATAGGACATGGCTCACAATAAATGGATAAATGTTATCAATTATTATTACTCTAAGATGGGAGTGGCCAGCAGTATTATCAATCATTGATTTTGGACAATTGATTGTTCAAAATATCCAAACCCTCCACTGTCCATTCCCCATTCTGCAGAGTTCCTAACCCAGGTAATAACAAAGGGCAGGCACACAGGCACACAACAAGCACCTGCTAACAATTCCTCGTGCAGTTCTCATTTGCACAAAGC